ATCTTGAATTTTGTGATCATTCTAAATGCATTTTAAAAAATTGAATCATGCAGTGAAAGAACGTGCAGTGGTCTAACCTGCTAAACTTTAGCTAACTTACATGGTAGCTCTCATGAGTCATGGATGTTAACCAGACAAATTAACTACATTTGCTTTTTGTCATTAATAATTAGCTGTAAATTCGAGGCACCGGTAGCTTAGGCTTTTGTTCATCACCTCCACATCAAGACAAACACAACTGGAAAGAGAGGGAGGGCTTCACTTCTGCCGCTGCGGTTCTCTGTCTGTGACTGATGTGCCGATCAGAGTCTCAACATTTCCTGATCCGACCTGATATTTCGTTTTTTTATTTGTTTGACAGGGAAAGCTGTGATCAAACACTAACACGCACACATATATATTAATTTATTTGAAAAAAAAAAAAGAACTCCCCAGAAAAAAGGGTACTTTCTCTCAAGGAAGAAAAAGGGCAGGTGCTCAAGCCCCCTTTGATGTTTATGTGTGCACGTGCCTGTCCAGCATCTTGAATAAGATCATTCCAATTTATTAAGTGAAAGAATGCTGTTCTAGAGACTGTATAGGATGATATAACAGTTGAACTACCTACACAGAGATTTGGACCAACGATTAGTACTTTTGCTTTATCAGAGTTTAGCACAACTTACTTGGCATCATTTTTTTAACCACTCCATATCCAGTAAAAGTTGGACATTTTATAAATTGCTATATCCTTTGCGGATATAATTTCCAAAGGTGTTTATCTAACAACAAACAATGTTTTAATAAGCACTAAGAGTTATTATGATGAAAAGCATTTTTGGAGCCAAACTCCTGGAGACATTTATGTATGCTCTGCCTGGAGGTTAGAATGTTTATGAAGCTCTGCCTCAAAAGCCACTAAGTACTTGCAAGGAAAATATATGTTACATCAGTATTCAAACATATATGCACAAAGCAAACACAGTTTGATTACAGCCAAGTAAAACACCATGCACTTGAAGCTTTGCCCAGTCCCAGCTGTGAAACTATTCAGAAAATCTAGTTTAATCACTTTTACTGACCCTACCATGGCATGACTTGAAATAAATATAGGCTAGTAAAAGTGCCCTTTCTATAGACTAAAACGTTTTTCTTAACCGAAAACCTGACACCTCATTGAGAAATTTAATATTTTGCAGAAGTTTGTTGTTTTAGTGTAGAGAGATTATCAAATATAATTTGTCATGGAGAGAAACTCAAGAAAAACTAAAATCTTAATCTCCAGTAAATATACTGGATATTTTCATCAAAAATAATTCCACAGATTCTTCTATTTTTCAAATAAATTTCTCAAATTTCACATATAAAGGAAAGAATGTGGGTCTTATTTATTACAAAATCTATACTAACAAGCTATGAGGAAGAGACTAGCTCTTGAAATTATAGGATTCTGAAAAATCCAGCATTGCTTCTAATTAACAAAATGTAAAATATGAATATATATATATATATATGTGTGTGTGTGTGTGTGTGTGTGTGTGTACAGTTATAAGTACATACATGTCCCTAATGAATCTGATTTCAGATTGTTACCAGCATGTAATATGGATTCAAGATGGTCACATTTTATTTCATTGGAGGAATTTGAATTAAATATACCTCAGGGTACATGCCAGGCTGAAGTTTACACATAAAAATGAGGCTGTGAATGACAGATTAATAGTCTTTACAATTGCATGCGCTGCATAAAAGTTCTAGATCACATACGTATAATAAACAGACAAACAAACACTAATGACTTTCAAAAATAAAGTTTTTTTCATCAGCTGAACAATTTGCATGTTTTAAACAACAGTACAGAACGCATTGTAATACTACCCCGTCATCCAGTCAAAAACTAAATATGGCACTACAAGTCTAGAAATGCACATTGTAACAATAACTGACATCTGAAAATACTTTATTTTTTGCAGTTAGCTTTCACTGTTGTGCAGACGGCACATCTTTATATTTCTTCTAGACCAGATAAAATTTCACAGTTTTCCACAGATGGTACAGAACATTAAGTAATATTTTATATACATTTTATCTGAATTAATGCGCTGTCAGACTATGGGTATTTCTGAATTACAATCACTTTCCAATAATTGCAAAATTACAGCAACTGATATGAAAAACTCCTTATTTCCCACTATCCACAAAAATGAAAGATGCTTGTGAGTGAATTGTTTCTGTTCTGTTTTTTCCCCATATAATTGGTGTGGAATTCCTCTTTGTCCACTGCAGTTAACCAGGATACTGGATGGGAAAACTTCCTGATGTTTGTGGGTTTGATTTAGGGATAGGGATAGGCATGTCCCGTGCCCAAATACAGCTTCTGCCAAGACCCTTATGAAATTCAGATAAGTAAATGTGTCCTTTTACATTAAAATAATAGCATGTCTATCTAATAGGCTATTTTATCAGTCAGGAATAGAACATTAGATACAACACAGAATAAAAAAAACAATGTTTTTTTTAAAGGAACACTCTACTATTTTTGAAAATAGGCTACCCTAGAGTTAAACAGTTGAGTTTTACCGTTTTC